TTTCTTTCCAGGATGGATGAAAAGCAGTTCCTCAGAATTCCATGAGCTCCACATCTTCACCCCTCCTGTCCTCTCCAAAACGCCAGTCTAGACCCAAAACAGCATCATCCAGACCCCAAACACCACCACCTACCCCAAACTACCAAACCCAGGCTCCAAACCCCTCAAAACCCAAGCCCCAAAACAAGATCACCTTAGATCCCAAAAATGCCAAAATCCAGGTCCCCAAATGCAAAAATCTAGACATAAAATCCATGCCCCAAAACCACCCAAAATCCAGGCCCTAAATGCCAAAAGTCCAGACCCTAAACCCAATAAAACCCAGAGGCCAAACTATAAAACCCAGAGCCAAATGGCCAAAGCCCAGAGCCAGAACGGAGCTGGGGGAAGCTGTGCTGGGAGCAGGCGAGCTCCAGAGGCGAATCCCGCTGGATCCCTGCAGGATTCCCGGAGATCCCTGCGGGAAGGGCTCTCTCACCTTGCTGACGTTGAGGGAGGCTAAAGGGGGAGGCGTTTCCGTGCGGTCATTGATTATTTCCACTTCTGACACGTACTGTAAGTTTACGAGCAGGATGTCTGCGTGGTTGGGCTTGCCACTGGAAGAGGGGCATTCTGGAAGGGGGGGGATTAAGGAAAACAAATCCAGAGGGAGGTTTTTATAGGTGGGACACAGTCCAGGAGCAAACCGGGAGAAGGGTGGGTTTGTGGGAAGCTCCTCTGCTCCCTTGTCCCTTCTTGGGATAATCAGTGATCCCAACAGAGCCGCTCATCTCTCTCTGGACCCATCTGGTGCTGATCCTGGTCTATCCCAGCTCCAGATTGAGTTTTCCAGTCCTGGTCCACCAGCACCAGCCCACCACCACCACTGGCCTGAACCAGCACCACCAAATTTGCACTTTTTCCCACCAGAACTCTTTCCTCTTGCGGGCAGCAGCCTCCCTGGGAGCATTCCCTGTTCTGGAAGGAAGGGAACTGCCAGGAGAGGGACACACAAGGTTTGTTGTTGGTACTGCTCTGTGAATGAAACACCACCCCCCAAAAAAACCCCATCCCTTCCAGAGCTGCCAGGGATCCCTGCACAACCCCCTGCTCCCATGAGGATGGACGGAGGGATGGAGCAGGGAGCACGGCACGGAGAGTGCCAACGCCATCTCCTCCTGGAACAGATCCTCGTGGAGATCCCTGCTCCCCTCCCAGCACCCCTGAGCACAAGGTGGAGCCCCCCCTAAAAAAAAGCCAGGGAATTCCAATCTTTCCCTTTGGGGGATGAGCTGGAGCATCCCAGCTTTGGGAGGAAGAGGCGGAAGGGAAGCGCTCAGCCCTCTGTGGGGCAGACAAGCAGCACTGAGCAACCTGTTGGACCCTCTGGGATTTTCCTGCTGTCTCTAGCGGGACCTGGGAGCTCCCCTGGCTCCAGCCACATCCCAGGCACCCAGGGGGCCTTCTCCTATTGTGTTTCCCACAGCTCCAGCCACAAAACCCTCTCCCAGCTCCTCATTCCCTGCAGAACCCACCCCTGGGCCCCCAGAACTCCAACGCCAGCCCTGAGCTGAGCATTCACCTTCCCCCCCTCTCCTGGGTGTCTCCACTGTTTTCCAACAGCCCTTGGCTTTTCCCATTCCCTGCAGATTCCAAACAAAACCGTATCCAGATATATTTATACTGGGGGGGGGCCAGGAACACCCCACTGCCCCCACACACCCCAATACAGGGTTCCTCACTGCCCCCCAAAAAACCTCCAGGACAAGTCCCCCCCTATTCTCCCCAAAACTGGGTGTTCTCTCTCCCCCAGTTTAACCCAGTGCAGGGCTCCCCACTCCCCCTCAAAAGCTCTTTTTAATACAGGGCCTCTCATTCTCCCCATTCACCCCAATACAGGCTCCCCAATCCCCCCAATCCAAACCTCCTCACTCCCCCCAAAAACTCCCTCTAGGACACCCCACATCCATTTACCCAACACAAGACCCCCGCCTCCCCCATTCTCCGGGGCACAGGGCTCCTGAACCCCCCGCTCACCGATCACAAGGCCCCCCAATCCCTCCTCACCGATCCCCCCGTTCACCCCCACAAAAGTCTCTCCAATTCCCCCAAAACCTCCCTGCCGGACTCCCCACTCCCCCCCTCCCTCGGGGGTCTCCCCGCTACCCCTCAAA